CGAGAGATCCTATGTTTTCCCTGAAAGGCTTAGAGACGCTGGTAAGCTGCTGCGAAAGCAACCAAACGCTAATATTGTCATGCCTGCCGCTAAAGGCGAGTTTAACAAGCTCTGATGTGCGTCTTTTTACGTCGTCCCCGCAGGCGATGTCATCCAATATGAGTAAAGTCTGCGCATCCTTAGGGAATTGTCTATGCCAAAACTTCAAATGCCCAGATAACTCGTTAGGGTCTAAGATATCCACAAAGAAGTCGTCATCTTTCGCGCCTACGCCCGTCCAGGTGCGGTTATTCACGTAGGTGGGGCAGAGCAGCACTATGTAGTCAAATCGGTATCTAAAGGGCCCTAATAGCTGCTCTACCACGAACTGGGTCTTCCCGCAGCCGGTGGGTCCTACGATGAGAGCGTTACAAGGCATGTGATCTGGGTTCATTTATATCCCTTCTTTCGAAGGGAACTTGTTCCCTGATATATATGGAGCACACAAATGCAGCCAACGCAGTTATAGCTGTAGTTACGGAAAAGAGGGACTTGGAGCGCACAGTGGAACTTCAAAGGGATGAGATCGACCGCCTACAGGAACGCGTGCAGGAACTTTACGATGAGATGTGCGGTTTAAAGCGCGCGGAACGATTTAGCGCTATGATAACCCTAGCAGGTTGGGCAAAGGAATCTGTGAAAGATTTCATGCGATTCCCACTCTAAAAAGAAAACAATATGTTATATATATATGGAGTGTACGATGTGTGATAAGGTGTTCAAAAGTGCGAAGAGGCTACAAAACCATATTGACTGTAAGGTGTGCATTACCAAATGCGACGATTGTAAGAAGGAATTTAGTTCCCGACAGCGTTTGGAGTATCACATTCAACATAGCGTTTGTGGTAATGGCTGCGAACTTTGTAGCAGGTCTGTCACCAACATGGTAGAGCATATGGAAAGGCATGAAGATGTCTACCAACGTCACAAAGACAAATACGATCTGGAAGACATTGACTGCTACGAATGCGGCGACATAATGGAGCGCTGCGAACATAAGGAAGATTATATAAGGAAGTGTTGTGCGGATGAAATGCGTCTGCGCAGCTTAGTTCCCTTCTTTACGTTCAAAGAAGGCGTGAAGTAGACTAATAGATCTCACTGGGAAGGTATCTGTAACGAGTGTGGTTGTCCCAGGAAGGGTGATCATGTAGTCAACTGCCTTAAACATTTGGATGTGAAAGCCTTTGAATAGGCTCAAAGAATTGGCAACGCTGGTCGAAAGAGGTGATCAGCGTTGCCTGGCGCTTTTTTTACGACCCCCGCCTAATTTCCAAGGGTGTTGTTGTTGTTTTTAATGATGTTTGTGAGAGCTGATCAAATTATTGAAGGTGTTGTTGTTGTTCTTTTGTTAGTATTGTTGAACTTGTTTGCTTGTTTTGTTTTTGAAGGTGTTAACATTAATAACACTATTCGAACATTATCAAAGAACAACAACAACCCTTTCAGAAATCAAACCGGCCCTGCAAACACCCTTAAAAGAACAACAACAACGCCTTTGGAAATCAAGCCAGCCTTGCGAACATCGTCAAAAGAACAACAACAACCCTTTCAGGAATCAAGCCAGCCTGCGCAAGGGTGTTCCTAACCCCTTTGAATATATGGACTGCATTACTTGTGAGATATCAGAAGATTGTATCATCGCCCCAGAAGTACAGGAGGTCATCAAGGAGGTCGTTAAAGAGCGTGCCGACCAGCCCAAAAAAAAGTCACCCTCTCCTTTGAAGAAAGGTACGACTGCCGTCACACCTACTTAGGCGGCGACTTTGGTGCCGCGCTGATCCGAAAGCGCTGCGGACCGTCGCAGATGCGCTTACGTACAGAGAGGAGACTGAATGACCCTCCTTTCGACGTCAAACACCCAACGCCCGTGTTCTTTGCCATGTGAACGCAGATGGGTAAATTCTTCGCCTTGAATTACGTACCGCACGCGATCGGGCGCCCATAAGGAATATTCCTTGCCCTCGTTGTCTTTTAATACCAGCCGTAAGCGGTTGATATCCTCAAAGACGACGTAATTTTTTATCTCATATGCTTTGCCTTCCGTAAGATCCTTCCAATGCGTTTGCGCGATCATATATCCTATGAAATATCCTTAAATGCGTCTCCAGCGTTTGTGTGGTGCGGAAGCGCTTGCAGCACCACCTACAGGGTATACGAATTCCCCGCGCGTAGTTAGCGATAGCGCGGCAGACGACGTCGTAGTCGTTGCTGATTAACACCTTATAACCATTCTCTTCGTATTGCTGCAATAAAGAGTGTTGATCCGCGGACAGTACCCCGTTGCCTTTCGGTGTCTTCAGCTCCAAGCAGAAACCGCGGTAACGCATGTGTGCATTCAGTATTAGCAAATCAGGTTGACCTCTTTGGTAACCCTTCTGCCAACACTTTATGCGCCTACCGTCCGAGTCCTGCAGTTCGCCTAGACCAGGGGTTACGAGCATTTGGGGGTAGAACCTGCGGATGTAAATGACGACTTTCTTATGTAGATCGAATTCGGTTTCTATCTTGAATACCAACTTATTTGCGCCATTGAATCTACGGTCTAGTTCGTATTTGCCCGTTTTACGCAACGTGGGTAAGACTTCTTCTAGCACCCACTCCTGAAATTCTACCGCGCGGGGTAATTTGGAACTAAATATCAGCTGATACAAGCCGGCCTCAGAAATGAACACGGAATGTGGATGGATAGTAGAAGGGGAACGACTTGGGACCCCTTGCATGTCGACCCATCTTTTCTGGTATTTCTCAGAAACGTGGTCTCTAATTGCCTTTTTGGTGTTTTCATAATCTAACGCAGACGCCACTTCCTTCGCTTTGAAGTATAGTTTGTCGCCTTGCGTTATACATTGCAGTTTGGTATCGTGGTGTTCGGATACGCGTAACATCGTATATTATGCAAATATTTTAATGTCGGCAAACAAGTTTGCCTCTAGAGGTAAGCTACGCTTACTGAGATCGTATCGATTTTCACTAGGATGAGTGAGCACGAATCAATATGCGACGCTTTTCAATTGGTTCATTTCTACGCTCAACTGCGCGTCAGACACCACGAAGACGTAGCAGTTTATCTTATCGCCGTCGCCCGCGGAGGCATTCTTTGTGCGTTTGATTTCCAAAGTAATACCGTCTTGAGTGTTGACCAGCCGCAGACCCTGACCATGCATAGATTCATCGTTGGTGGTGCGCATGTCGATCCATAACGCGTACTTATCATTAAAGAATTCCTCAGGGCTAATTTGGTCGCCAAACTTACGCATTGCCTCCCTGTACACGTCTGCAGGCTTTATCCCCTGGGAGTAGACCTTGTTGGGGACCCCGTTTATGTTTACCCCCACGTTAGTAATGTTGGGGTTGTGAAAGGCCTCGGAGTTGCGCTTACCAGCCTCGTAGGGTTTGGCAAACACCAACATCAACCCCGTGAGACTTCTTCGGGGGAGGTTAATGCTTTGGTTGATAACCTCGTCCGTCTTATCCAGGAAGCTGAACGTCTTATACATCACCACGTGGTCGTATAGGAATGCCTTCCCGGCGCTGTATTCCATGCCAGCGCTGCGGGCCAGCTCTTCGCTGTATACCGTTTCGTACTGTAGCTCTAAGTTGGTAACAGAATAGGGATGAATACTTCCGGTAAGTGCTGTCCCAGATGCGTCCATCTCTAGGATATTAGTAGTGTCTGCTAAGGTTACTTCAAACTGTAGTTCACTTAACTGCCTGGGGTAGTACGCACCATGGTTTGTAATTACTTCAAAGTCCAGTGGTATGACATACTTAATACCATAAGCCGTCTTTATTCGCTTTGCGTCTGCTACTGCCGTTGCGTCCCCAGAATCCGTGGGCTGCGTCTTAGTATCGCTGCGGACCTTACGAAGAATAACACTACCAATTCCTTGTTCTATCCTTTKCGCGCGGTCGAAGGCCGTCAACCACAAATCTTTGTACGTGGTATACAGATCGTACCTGTTCAGATCCAACAGGGTCTCCCCGGCGAACTTGACCCTCATCTTAGAGACTATGTTACGGCCTAGGTCATTTACTGCGTAAGTTTCTATTTTCGTACTTGGTTATATTGCTAGGTCAAACCTTAGAGCCAAGGTGCCAGGAACTAAAACTAGATTATCCGTTAGACGGGGTACGCCTACGTACAGCGTCTCCCCTGGTTTTGCGCTGCTGGGGGTAAAGGTGACCCGGTGAAAGGTTCGTTCTGCCTTTAGTCCACCAACCTGCTTAGGTAATACATTGGGGTTTAACTTTGAGCTTATCATATATAATGGAAGTAGAAGGAACGGATTTTGACCCCCTTACCGAAGAAGGCCAAGTCGATATTAACGATGAAGAATTCGATGCATGGACCCAAGGCGCGGAAACCGACCCCCTAATCTACGACGCAGCCTTGGAAAACAAGTACGGTAGTAGGTGGAAAAGCTTCAAGGCCGCCCTAAATCGCATGTGGCAATCGAAGAACCGCGGCAGCCCCGTCCCCGAGTACTTAGAACTTCAAAACATAGACGAGCAGGGAGCAACCGCGCGGGAAACCGTAGAGTGGGCAACGCAGGAGCTAAGAATGCGCTATCCCAATTTCGAGGTCGACGACATAAGGCTCACAGAACGCGGAAACAAAGTTCTCATAAGCGTCAGAGACATGAGATATCCCGACGCTAACCGTTGGACCAAACCACAACTTCTCTTTGATGATAGTGGCTCGGTCAAGGTTAACGTAGCCAGATTGAGGGGCTTCAAAGAGGCTACCCGGAGCGACTTAGAAAGATTAAAAACCCTGAACGAAAGGGTCGCGCTAGAAAGGCGCGCCGAGGGGCTACAAGAAACGTTGGAAGAAAGGGAAGCAGATTACATGAGACAAAACCAACTGCTCGCCGATGCTCAAAAGAGAGAACTTGACGACAAGAATCAGCTAATAGTACAGATGAGAGAACAAAGAGACAAAGCTCTACGCGATAGAGACCAGGCCCAAAGAGCCTTTGAGCTTGCCCTGCGAGACCTGGACATGAGCAAGGAAGAAGCCAAAAACTTGCATATTACCATAGCCGGCTCTTTGGAGGAACGCCGGCAGTTGGTTGCCGAAATTAACGCCAAAGAAGGACAACTTCGTCAAATGGCTCAGACTATCGAAGACCTGGAAAGAAACATAGCCGAAAAACGGGAAATAATCAATGACCAGACTCGTCCCGAAGAGGAAAGGGAGGCAGCCCAAAAGGAGGCAGAAACCCTTCAGGTAAGAGTTGCGGAACTGCGAGCGCAAAAGGAAAACCTGGAAAAGGAGCTGGGGCTTACCACCAAGGAAAAGGTAAAAAGAGCTCTGGTGAAGTATGGTATTCCGCTGGCATTCGCGGTCGCTATTTCAAGCGTAGTAGGAGTTATCCTTAATGCACTTAAGGCTACGGGCGCAGGCGTAAAGAAATTAGGTAAAGGACTAACGGACTTAGGGAAAAAAATGGCAGCCGGTCTTCCTGGGCTGCTTGGTAGTGTTCTTGGCCTGGCACTTAGGGCCGGCGGAGAACTGTTGAAGTTCGTGGGGAATAACATCTGGATCTTGGTAGTAGCTATTGGGGTGGTACTCCTGAAGAAGATGAAGGGCTGATCTTGTCCTTGTGTATTACTGGTGGCTTATCGTCGTCGGGCGCCCGAGGCATTCTCGACTTGGGATAAGTAAAGATAGTGTTCGCGCCGCCTTGATAATGCGGAACTAGCGGCAACACACTCATGGTGCTAATGGTCTTATGATTCCAAATAGCGTCCACCGGGGTGGGGGCGGTTGGGGCGCCATTTACTCGCACAAAGCCGGTATCGCTCGGGCGAACTTGAAGCTTTGCATGTTGGCAATTGGCTATCATGTGAAACGTTACTGGCGTTATATCTTCTGTGCTTGACGGATAGGACTCAAACGAGAAATGAGCCAAATGCCTGGTATTTGTTTTTACCCTGTATGGCAGCAGTGGGCGGTCGTTCTCATCAACGATCCTAAAGCCGGCATTACAATTATGCCCCATCGAAATGCAAATAGTGCACATAATCAATCCCAGGCCTCCAACCTCCACCCACAATCCGGTGTCATACCAGTTGTCGTACGTATGCCTCTTATCCTCCAGGTAATGATAAAACCAGTCTTCCTTTGCGTGTGGGTTGTTCATATATTTAAAGGCTCATTACCGTAAGAGTGCTAATGGTCTTGTGATTATAAGTCTTATCTCTTTGGTCCTCTATGCTATTTACCGCAACCTTTCCCGTATCGTCTACTCTTATCTGCAGCTTTACCTTTCCATGGCAATCGGCAACCATGTGAAAAGTCCAAACCGATAGATTTTCAGTGCTGCTGGGATTGGGCTCTACGGAGAAATGCGCGGGCTCCCTGGCGTTTGTCTTATTTCTCATAGGCTGCAATATGCCATTGTCATCTAGAAACCTGAAGCCCACGTTGGCGTGGCTGTCCGTACCAATGCAAATGCTGCATATTATCAGCTTCTTTCCTGAGTAGTTCAGATCCACAGACATCCCGGTGACGTCCACCCAAGATGCCTGGGTGTATTTTTTCTCGCCTGTGTAAGTCGTATAAACACAATCTACTCCAGCTACGTAGGGGTTGTTCATCGCCATACATAATAGCTCAGACCAATGCTTGCAGCTGCTAGGCCGGCCTTTAGTAAGTTATGGTCATATTCCTCGGGTATCGTAGGCAGGACCTTCTTTGGTGTCACGTATTCCTTTTTTGATGGCACGTGTTCCTTTTTTGGCTTCTCTACGAAGTGAGGAATGCCCTTGGTCATGTCAGAGTTCACGTCATTCGCTCCAAACTTCATATCCTTAGTAGCTCGTTGAAGTTTGTTGTTGTAACCCACAACGGAATTGGTGTTGATAACCAAATTACTAGGCATTAACCAACAACCAGGCGACAAAGCGTAATCCAGCCGCACTTTGGATTGTTGCACCGCCAATTGATATCTCTGCACCGACTTGGATATGTCATTTTCTATTATTGCGGACTCAAATAAAGTTAGGAATTCTTGTTGCGTTTCCCGCGAAGCACCTTGGGAACCAACAATTGGGCTGCGGGTATTTACCTGCGCTCCCAGGGTGCAGTAGACGAATGCTTCAATGCTGCGGTTGATCCTGGCTAGGTTTCTTAGGCCTTTTCCTTTTAATAATACAAACGGATCCCAAGGACTGGGGTAAATTGTCTCAATCCTATCGATCAGCGTAACGTCATTCTTGCGACCACCCAAGTCGTAAAACTTTAGGACCCCGGGATATTTTTGATGATACATGTCTGCCGGACGCACGCCGTCAACATGCCAAGCATAGATAATGCCCAAGCCATGCGTGGYGCCCTCCCGATAACGAAAGTCTCTCTGCTGCGGCTTAAACTCATTCATTAGTCTTTCTAGGGCAGCGGAATCGTAGTGGTTATTCATTCGATTGAATGGCTATTCCCCCGGTAATGGTACGCTAAGCTCCTTCAATATGCGCCGCATAGTAAAGGCAACGTGGAACCTTAGAAAGGCAATGTCGAACATATCCGCGGCAACCCCGCAGCCCTTTGTAGCCGCCCAGACGGCAAAGCTTAACTGCTGCGGCCAGTACTTAAAGTTAGGTCCCTTTAACCATTCGTGGGCTTCTTTTCCTGAAGTGTGCGTAAGGTTAAATTCCTTAAAGATATCCCTTATTACTACGTCAAAGGTTTGCTTACCCACTGGAATCTTTAAATGCGTTACTATCTTATCAAAGTTGTTTACGCCACCTTCAGCATCGTAAAATGGGTAATCCTGGTTGGTTATTAATAAATTGCTTGGAAAGTTAGACTGCTTTTCCTTACGTACAGGCTTACGTAAGGGCTCATGCACGGGCTTACGCACGGGCTCATGCACAGGCGCAGGGCGCGCCTTGTGATGTTCGAACATTTTTCCAAGCTGTTTCCGACTTAAATAATCCGTATGATACGGGTGATCCTCAAAATCATTTCCAAAAGCGTCGTACATTAGTATATATAATGGATGTTATACCATCAGCACCTCCACTTTATCCTGATCTACCCAAGGAGGGTCCTAACGAACTAAACG